GTTACCGACTGGAGTTACCCCTGAGACGCGAGCTCAGGCCGCACTGTCCTGGCCGCCACTCCCTCACGGTTTCTTCCGCAGCCATGGGCCTGGCCGCCCTGGAGGTCATGCAGGCCGTGCAGCGGACCTGGACCAGCTCGAAGGTGCGCATGAACGGGAAGACGCGGCTGATGCAGTGGAGGGACATGTTCGACATCGCGGTGAAGTGGAGACGGTAACCAGCATTTCATGACAGAGACGAGGTCTCCTCGCCCTGGCCGGTGCTGCTCAATGGATAGAGCCGCGGCTGCGGACCGGGGCCCGGGTTTGATTCCTATCAAGGGCATGTACCTCGGTTGCAGGCTCCTCCCTGGACCGGGGCTCTGGTCTCGGGCTCGGGAATGAGGCAACCACTCATTGTGTCTCTCTCACGTCGATATTTCTGTCTTTCCCTCTACCTTCCACTCTCTCTAAAAATCAATGGAAAAAATATCCTCGGGTGAGGATTTAAAAAAAAATAGTCTCCTCAACAGGTTTCGAGTTCTGTTTTATTTCCTAACAAGAAGCCTCATACGTTATATGATCCTCTCTAAATTTGTCAAGTATTGCTGGCATCATTACACTCATTTACTATTGACAAAATAGGAGTTATCATGTTTCCACATACATTTTTTTAAAAAGTATTTTAGAAAAAGCAATCTCTTTTTTTTTTTTAGAAAAAATACGTTTTTATTTATTTTAGAGAGAGAGGAAGGGAGAGGGAGAGAGGAACATTGATCGGTTACCTCCCTTGCCCCCGTCGGGACGGCGCCCACAACCTGGGCATGTGCCCTGACTGGGAACAGAAGCGGCACCTTCTGGTGCGTGGGAAGGCGCTCAGCCAGCTGAGCCGCACCGGCCAGAAGAGCAGTCGTTTCGAAAGAGCGGGCGCCTGTGGCCTTTGCATGGACTTCGGCTCGCGTCTCTATAGCTGCCGTGTGTGCCTGGGTGCCCAGCGCCGGCGTGGGTCACAGATGATACTCACTTTCATGAGAAAGTGCCGCTCTGCTCGTGAGCCTGCCCTGACTTCCTCCGTGGCCCAGTCGGGACAGCTGGTTGGAGTTTGGTCTGCGCCACCGCTTTCTCCCGCTTGTGCAAAGACGGTGTTTTATTGTTAACGCGTTGGGACCTTTCTGGGCTGTGGAAGGCCTTGTCTCTAACAAGCTCTGTTTCACAGGATTGCGGACCCAGACCAGCCGGTGCTGTGGTTAGATCAGATGCCGGCCCGCAGCCTGAGCAGAGGTTTCAACAACCACATCAATTTAATCAGGTAGGACCCCCCCACGAGCATCTTCTCTGTCTTCATCGTAGTTTATTCTCAATCGTGGGCCTGGAGACCGTGAGAAGCCCATGGCTCCTTTCCTGGGGACCTGGATGAGGGTTCTGAAGACCCGCTCTGAGGCTTTCTTGGGCTGCAGCCTCGCAGCTGGACCCGCTGCG